GTGTGTGTGTGTGTGTGTATGTGTGTGTGTGTGTGTGTGTGTGTGTGTGTGTATGTGTGTGTATGTGTATGTATGTATGTGTATGTATGTATGTATGTGTGTATGTATGTATATATGTATGTATATGTATGTGTATGTATGTATGTATATGTGTATGTAAATGTGTATGTGTGTGTATGTGTATGTATGTGTATGTATGTATATATGTATGTGTGTGTGTGTGTGTATGTGTGTGTGTGTGTGTGTGTGTGTGTATGTGTATGTATGTATGTATGTGTGTGTATGTATGTATGTATGTATGTGTGTGTGTGTGTGTGTATGTATGTGTGTGTGTGTGTGTGTGTGTGTATGTGTGTGTATACATATACATACATATATGTATGTGTATGTATATATTAAAAAACAAGATGGACATATGCATATAACACAAACATTAATATGTAGAACAATAGTGCAGCTATTTAAACATTGCACCAGCAATTTGATTGGCAATCGCTTTCTCACCAGCATGCAAACGTCAAACTTTATACTGAACTTTGTACGATTGCAGTTAAGACATAAAATGTTAAAATAAAGACATAAAACGAGAACAAGATTATCTTTTATAACATCATAAAGAGTTTTTTACTTTAGTACAATGTAAATACACAATAAGTGCATTGTATCAAATGTCTCATTTAAATACTGTTTAACACGGGTTTTAACATTTTAACAAGGTTTTACTACAAGGTTTTTTTTAAATGATCAACAACAAGTAACATATCACTGTTTGCATCCAACCCATTCATGTCTTATTTGGATTGAAAAGAACTAAAGCCTGAGACACACTGCACGATTTTAGGCTGTCCCAGATGAAAGATTGGCATCATGAAACAATCGTGGCCATGTCATACCCAAGTTTATTAGATCCATGTCGCACAGTGTGATATGCAATGATCTTATTCGGTTGTTAAGTGGTGACGTAAGAAGTGCTGTTTATGGATCCAAGCCTCAACTCGCTTCACTTGAGAATACTACCTCAGCAGCCGTTTATGAGAACTGTTTATTCATATTAAACATTTAAGCTGAACGTTTTCAAATTTACGGTCTACACTAGTCTCCATGCTCACAGCGTCCCAAACACAAATAATTTTTCTATTTATTTATTTATATTAATTTTTTCATTGTCTAGCTATCTGGGATTTCGGTATGGAGTTAAAGGTTAGGATTATAATTTTTTGGTAGTATTATATCACATTGTGAGTGTATATTAGCACCTTTTATTGTTTTCTCATGGTATCTGATAGAGCGTTTGGACACCGAAGCGGTGACACGTGGCGTCAGACTTTACAAGTGGATAGGATTACTAAAATCGTGCAGTGTGTCTCAGGCTTTACAAATGATCTGACTGAAAGGTGTATAATTTAAATAATCTGCCACATAAACATTTAAATCTTTCTACTTTTTATATATAGTTACAGTTCTGTCATGGCAACTCTCGGAGGGATTGGCATGGTAATGTACATGACAATGTTAATGTATTTGGTCTTGGCGGAATAGATCTGCTACGCTGCTGCGGCAGAGCAAGTATCGAGACTTGCTACTGCCAATACATCCACAACATGCTGCTGTGAGCATGTAAGAAATACTGCTGCTACACATATAACAACATATGAACAACCCCTAGAGCATACATGAATCACCTCGTAGCAGATTTATACAGGTGGAGCTGGGGAAGGTGGAGGGTTTCTGAAGTGCGCTGAGGACTGCTACAGCAAACAAAAGCCAGGTATTTGAATATTGAGCAGTGAGCTCATTGGCTACTGATACAGGAGAAAAAACAATCAGCTGTGCCATGTGATAATGATGTCATTTTGTCAGATTGAGTTAGACCGATCGGACTGCACCGTCTAGAGTTTCATGCCAGAACTCTGTATGTCTGTCATGACAACTCTCGGATGGCGTGGTAATGTACATGACAGTGTTAATGTATTTGGTCTTGGTGGAATAGATCTGCTACGCTGTTGCTGCTGCTGCAGAGCAAGTACCGAGACTTGCTACTGCCAATACATCCACAACATGCTGCTGTGAGCATGTAAGAAATACTGCTGCTGCACATATAACAACATATTAATAACCCCCCAACAAAGCAGGAGACAACAGAACACAATACAATACAAGCCAATATATGCATGCCGCTGAATATAAGGATAAACTGCTGCATCAGTGGACATACATGCATCCACGCACATGAAGGTTAACAGACGAGGAAAGACAAGATACCCCCCCAATAAAGCAGATATATCGCCAAGACACATGTACTGCTGCTACTCCGAAGAGCCATGTGAACCACATGAATTACTATCTATGTGAGTCTGGGCTACGATGCCGACTGGCTTAACCTGTGAAAGTGAACACACTAATCATTTATTTATAAAACGAACCTTAAAGTGTTACCAAAAAGTCTATTTAAAAATCCTGTAAATATCCTTTTTTTCAAAGTTGTTTTATGTAGACAAAACATATCAATGTTGCAAACAGTTGTGTTGCTTAATATTTTTAATAACCTGTGATACTTTTTTTCAGGATTCTTTGATAAACGGAGGGTTGGGGGGAGCAGCATTTGTTCGAGGTGGACATTTTCTCTGACAATATACTGTTTAAAAAATTTCAAGGGTCAATTTTTCTTTTTTACTAGAAAGGACTTGTTGGAAGGGGTTTCTATTTGGAATGGGTGCTGGTCTTTTCGTCTTTCTGTTTATCAAAGAATCCGAATACTGTTTCCAACATTGTTAAAGGGGTCATATGATGCGATTAAAATTTTTCTTTTCTCCTTGGAGTGTTACAAGCTCTTGGTGCATAAAGAAGATCTGTAAAGTTGCAAAGACTAAAGTCTCAAATCCAAAGAGATATTCTTTATAAAAGTTAAGAGTTAACCACGCCTACCTAAAACGGCTCGTTCTAACACGCCCCCACATGTCTACGTCACGATGTGGGAAGATTTGCATAACGCCGCCCAAATGTGCACGCAAAGAAAGAAGGTGTAACTTTTATTCTCACTATAGTATTAATAGTTGCTGCCGCCATGTCGTGAAGACGCTGTGTGCTTCGTTGTGAAAGCGAAACTACTTTGTTTGATCTTCCAAAAGAGGATGATATCCGCTTCGTCATGCCTAGAGCTGATCTGTGCTGGTCGCTGAGGGAATACATCAACTTAGTGCTGTGGATTGCCGGATCGGCTTTCACCGAGGACGAAGCGGAGTCCAGCCCGGGGTCCGTCACATGTGGTTGCCGCTCCTTCGTCGAACCCGCCGACCGCGCTGTTCTCAACCCCGTCGCCTCTGCTCACTCTAGCCCGGCCTCAGCTCACGCCCGGTGTTAAGTTGTATTTACAACACTGTTCCAGAACAGTTTAACCCAAATATCCAGATGTGTGCAGCACATGTTATGGAGGACTGTTTACTGATCCTGGGAGAGTAGACTACAATGCCGGCAGTTCTGACTCACAGTCTGTAAGTACGTTTTCATTTAAAGGATTTGCCACTGATGATTCAAACGCAAGTTTTGGGCAGTGTAGAGTAGCACTTGTTGTTTGTAATTTCTCCGATCACAAATGCAGACATGGTTTTATGTTTACGCGGCGCGATGCAATGCAACGCGTAAAAAGACAGTATAAGTCATTATAATCTGTAAATATGTCCCCACTGGATGTCACAAATGCCTCGTTTGTAATGGGTTGTAATGTTTTTGTCTCGTTGCTCCGGCCGGGACACGGCATCACAGTATGGTGAGGGGCGTAACATTTCCGTCACACGCTTGAGGTATTCGGCCAATCACAACGCACTGGTTAGCTGGCCAATCACAGCACACCTCGCTTTTCAGACCGATAAGCTTTGTAAAAATCGACGCGTTTCAAAAAGGCGGGGCATAGAGAAGAAACAATAATGTACAGTATGTGGAAAATAATGTGTTTTTTTACTTTACACCGCATTAACACATTTCATTACACCAAATACACAAAATAATGTTCTTTTTAGCAGCATCATATGCCCCCTTTAATAAATCAGCATATTAGAATGATTTCTGAAGGATCATGTGACACTGAAGACTGGAGTAATGATATTGAAAATTCAGCTTTGCATCACAGAAATAAATTACATGTGGAAGCATATTAAAATAGAAATCTGTTGTCATAAATTCTAATAATGTTTTACAGTAAAACTACAATTTTACTGTTTTCTGTATTTTTATCAAATAAACGCAGCCTTGTTGAACATAAAAAAAACGTATTTTGTAAAATCAGGAATACTACTAAAGTGATGTGACATGTGGCCAAGTATGGAGACCTTCGAATTAATATAAATATACTCGGAAATTAGTGCTCTGCATTTATCTCATCCAAAGTGCACACACACAGCAGTGAACACACACACGGAGCAGTGGGCAGCCTTTTTTTTTTTGTCTGCGGCACCCAGGGAGCAGTTGGGGGTTCGGTGAATTGCTCAAGGGCACCTCAGTTGTGGTATTGAAGGTGGGAGAGAGAGCGCTGTACATTCACTCCCCCCACCTACAACCTTTGGGTTACGAGTCTGACTCTCTAACCATTAGGCCACTAATGGACATTTAGTAGATATAGAACTAGGGTTCTAGTGTCCTGTCTACATAATATACATACAAAAACACGTAAAAGCACACTCTTAAAATAAAGTTTGACTAGTTGAACTCTGAATAAGATTAATGCAAATTTTTCATTTAACCTAGTGTAAACTTTTAACAAGCTTTATACAAAAAAAAAAACAACTTAAGAAATTTTCTGATATGTGTTTAGATGATATAACGAGTAAACTGGGTGTTTAAGCGTGTGGTTGTCTACCTGAATAGACTATTTTAAAACAGCATTGCTCTTCAAAAATATCAAATTTTACAGGGTGCTTGCAGTAAGCCTACTGTGATTGGGCCTCATGATAAGTCCTCCATGGCTGAACACCCTCTCAACTGGTGCACTGGTTGCAGCTACTCCCAAGACCCTCATGGCCAAATGGTCAAGCTTTTTGAAGTCCTTCATATGCCTACTCCAGAATTTCATGCAGTCAGTGCCATCCTCCTCTGATGCTGCCTTGACATATGCATTCAGTTCTGTCATATCACTGCTGGTCACATTCTTCTTCTTTTTCTTGTGGTAGCCCATGAAAAGTTGAGCTGTCTTTGCTGGAGGTTCCTTCTGGCCATCATCTCCACTGCTACTGCCCACAGGGAGGGAGACATTTTCCATCTCAGATATCGTCATGTCTGGAAAACAAAATAAAGAATGATTATGCATTGTAGGATAGTTATTAAAATACAGTGCAGTAAACTGATATATTATTAAAATGTTTGTTTCTAATAGTAATATGCTTACCCAGTAGTATTTCCTTCACTTTATTCTCCACATCTTCAGCTGCTAGCACATCATGGTCAAGCCAGAAGAGGCAGAAGTTAGGGTCCAGTAGTGCAGAAAACTTGTAGATTGTTTCTGCAAAAGGTAATTCTCCTGGATGTTCAGCTGACTCTTCCATTCCAACATTCACAAACATCCCCTTGAAACGATGCTTGAGTGATCTCTGTAGCACTTTTACAAAGCCAGTGAGTTGTCGGACTGAAGTTAACATCTTGGTGAGATGATTGATCAAAGAGAGGACACATGGAAGAGCTGCACTTATTGGGCCTCATTTATCAATCTAACATAGAAACGAGCGCAGATCCGTGTGCACAAATCAACTTACAACAGAGTTCACATGTGATTCATGAAACATTTGTATGCCGCCAATCTCATCGTACGCTTGATCGCACATTGATAAATGTGGCGGCAGAAAACAATCGTCATTTGAATATCACGCCCCTAAAAAAAAACACGATTCAGAAGCTTCGCCCCTAGAGTTTACGACACGGAGAAACAAACCCTGGTCATAAAGAGGAAGTAATCTCGTGAAAGAGAAATTAATCTTACTCCAAAAACACCTGTTAACCTTGTAATTGCAAACAATTAGGCTACAATAATTTATGTAATATATATGTATATTAAAATACTGGTAAATACAAACAGCCTATTTAGTTCCCCTCACTCTACAACAATTATTTTAAATTTAACGGTATTCAGAACAGAACAAGAATGAAAAATAAGTTGTTATAAAATTATATATTAAACTATAAAATAAAACACAAATTAGGCTATAGTGGCATTCATTATAAACAGCATACACATGTCAAGCAAAACTGAAACGGCATTGGGCTCACAAGCCTGTCTCATACCAAAAGAATCCAAAGGTTTCCATTTTTGTCATATTTGTAACATTTGTTTGCATAACTATTATTCATTATGTAGCCTAAACATGGCTTTATACTTCACTCAT